AAATGAAAAACAATACTTTAAAATATACACGTGGGGTACCATAGTCTATTATGAACAAATAATACTTATTTTTTTAGATTACTAGTTATTAGAGATTGTAAAAATTATGAATTATAATTTTAAAAAATACTCAAAATTTGTAAAGTCTAAACTGCCAAATCGATTGTATTCATCCGCCAATTCATACGACCTGTTCAATCCGCATCCACTAAATTGATGAACAGATACAAATTAATTTTCTCCTGTTTGGCTAATTTTGAATGAATGGCATATAAAAGATAAGATATTACCCCACTCAATCCAATCTCCAATCACCCCTGAGTGAATGCGACCATTCATTCAAACCAATGGGTCAAGCTATCCATGAGGATCTGATTTGAGTCCAAACCCAACCCAACCACCGACCCAACCACCAACCACCGACCATATATATATACGCAACATGGGCCACTTTGGATGTGGCTTTTTAGTTTAAAAACAAATATATAAATAAATAAATAAAAGTTAAAAAGCCACTCAAAAAAATTAAAAAGTTAAAAATTTAACCTAAATAGTAAAAAGTCATATTGTACATTTTTTTTTTCTCACAACTATATTTCTAACTAAAAAAATTATTTCTAAATAAATTAACTTTTTTCACTATATAAAAAAAAAGAAGAAATCACTAAAACAAGTTTCAAAGCAAGTCATGTGACTTGTGTGGGTGGTTTTTTGGGAATTTGGGATGGTTGCTATGCGGAGTGCATAACAATCACTATTGTGCAGTCCAATGGGTCCATTTCGGGGTCCATTTTGATATTCTGAACCGTTCACATTTTAGAATACATCAAATTAAACATACCTGCAAAAAATTAAGTTAATTGGATATCGTTTACTCTGTCAAATGTGAGTGAATGAAAGAATAAACGATATCTGATTAACTTGATTTTTTGCAGGTATATTCTACTTAATGTATTTTAACTTGTGAACAGTTCGAATTATCGAAATGGGCCATAAAATGAGCCTATTGTACTGCACAACAGTGGTTGTTGTGCACCTCACACAGCAACCACCCCAAATCCGTTTTTTGGGTGACAAGGAAATTTGAAATAGAGATTTTCCAGAAAACATATGGACATGGCATCAAGTGTTTTATCTGACGAATAAGTAATATTACAAATTCAGATTTAATTATTTAAATATTATTTAGAATTGTTATTTTCGTATTTACGTTTATTTTATATATGAATTTTACTCTATACAAATTCAAGTTTAATCACACAACTCTCATTCGGGATAAATTTGAAATAATTACGTGGGTTCATAACATTTTTCCTAAGGAATTAATCTTTTTGAGTCATTGTCTTCACAGATAATTCTATTATACACATCTCATACCATATGCATCCTTAGTTATACTATTTTTTTTTTTAGTTATGATATTATTTTAAGATTTTGGTTATGATTTTTTTTTTTTTTTTTTTTTGTATTTGGTTATGACTTATTTTTATTTTTTTATTTATGATTTAGAAAGTATGAAATTATGTCATTTTTTTTTATAATTATAAGGTGCATATAATACACACATTTTGAGGAGTGTACCATAATATTTTATTTGGGCTATTTTAAAAAGAAGGTTAAAAATCATTTTACAGTTTTTAACCTATTTTGGATCACATCATCTCTCATATTTTTTTACACATTTTTTAAAAACAATTAAAAAAAATTTAAAAATTAACTTCTAACTATCTTTCCAAAACAACAATGATTCATCTCACTAAAAACATCATCACTAATAGCACTAATGCATTAAAAAAGTAAAAAAAAAAAATAAAAAAATACAACTCCAAGACCAAAACATCACATCATTAATGACGGGACCCACTGCCACCTAATTAGTGGGAGCACTAATTAGTGCTCCCATGCATTTTTCTTTTTTCAAAATATGTTAGAAGTTATTTTTTTGATTTCTTGATTTTATATTTAAAATGCAAGCAGAGTTTTTTTTTTTTTCTTTTGAAAAATTCCAAAACAAAATACTAAGATGAAAATAAGCCAAAATGATTGCTTATTTTTGTCTTCTCTGATTTTTTTTGAAAAAATTATAATTTTTTTATTCATCTTGTCAAACTGAATTTAAAAATCTCAAACTTTTTGAAACATTAAAAAAAAAATCCACTAAAGAAGTTAATACACTTCCCAAAACACTCCTAAATTTGAGGTGATAAAATGCATTTTTGGGGATATTTTGAAAGACAAATCATCAATGTATCCACATGTTATGATTTATTACATGCGACTAGCTAAAAGCCCAGTAACCATTTTAGACAAAACTATATAAAAAGTAAAATATAGGTAATATAAAACATAGATATATTATGAATAATATTAACGACCATGAAAAAAATATCATGAAATGTATTATGAATAATTTTTGGTTGCGTTTGGTAGAGCTTTGTAACTATGATTTGAGAGTATGAGTTGTATTTTGAGTTTGTGGGGTTTGGAATTATGATTTGAATGTGAAAAATTTGTTTGGTAAAGAGTTTTGAAAATAGTTTTGAATTGAGTGAGGAATTATTGATGTGACATTCGATATTTGATATAAAAATTTACAACTCATAACCAAACATACAACTCAAAATTATTTTAAAGCACATAAAAAATTTTAAAAAATTCAAAAAATATTTTTTTCGAATATATAAAAATTAACATATCAATTGAAAAAAAAAAAAAAAGTTCACCGTTCTGGTCAACCGGCCGAACGACCGGTTAGGCCAAATTTCAAAAAAAAATAATTGAAAATCGCACTCTGTTTGACAGAGTTTTTTGCAGAGTTGTGGAAAATTAATTCCACAACTCTATCCAAACACCGCCCGCGAACTCAAGCGTAGAAAACGATTTTGAGAATTGTTCCAAACAGAGCCTTCATCTTTTGATTAGTGTGTGGTGTTTTATTGTGTATATAATCCAAAGGTGAAGAATCTTTCATGATCATTTTCATGATATTTTTTTCATGATCTCTAACATTACTCATGTTGAGATTTCTGATTGGAAAGAGTCATTAAACGGAAGATTCTGATCGGGAGGAATCATTAAACGAAAGACTGTTATTAATAAGAATTTTAAAAAAAGAAATTCAACTGGGTTATATTTTCATAAATTCTTACTGTAAGAATTTTTCGTTTAATGATTCTTACGAATTAGAGACTTTAACTATTTGGTCTAATTCCACTTTCAACTAGAGATAAGTCAAATCCTATTTTATATAGGAAAATGCATGAGACCCCCAGTGGGGGTACTGGGGGTCTCTTCCTATTGGCCCAAAAACTGTTTGTTTTTTTTTTTTTATTTCATATATATATATATATATATATAGAATGGAAGATGATAATAAAAATGGTTTTAGGATGTGGGTTCGGCATGGGGGTTAGCTGTCACGTGCATGGCTGGTAGATGGTGCATGCGCCTGGAAAACAAAATCACATAAAATAAAAGAATATGCTAATGTTGTATAAAAAAAAAAGAAAAGAAAAAAGAATATGCTAATTGATCAAAGTCTTACGAATTGTTATTAAAGTAAAGGCAATGATTAGGTAGTTAGAATTTGAATGCATTTTCAAATGTTTTTATGTAGTTTTATATATTTTTGCACTTCATGTACTTATATTAAAATTAATGATCACTCGTTATTATTTTTACACTTGTACTTATTCATTTATTTATTAAATAATGTCACACAAATAAAGGTTTCACTCATACGCAAAATATCTTGTATAATGTTCCTCTTATTTATTAAAATTGTATACAAAGAGAGTAATATTATAGAAAAATTACATGTCAGGGCTTTTTCTAAATCGTAATAACAAAATCAAGAAAAAACTCATGTTTTTACTTTTTATTATTTGTAAAGTTTACAATTAATTTGAAAATATTTTCCTACATATCCACTTAAATTTTACCCCAATATTATACATATCGCATTTTTATATTGTTTTTAGTACATTGTCCCTTGTGTCAGTATATTACAGTACTAGTGGGTGGCACACACGATGTGTGTGCAATTTAAATAAGTAGGAATAAAAAAAAATAATAATGAAATTAGTATTATAATGTGTTCAGGATACCAAAATTCCTGTTCACTTTATAATAGTATAGATAGATAGATATTATTAATGTAATAAATCTCACTATTTATGCCTATTTCTAATACAATATTTGGACATAAAATGATATGATAAATGTAATATAACATTATTACTCAGCTAGAAAAGGGTGGCAGTTTTTGCTTGTTGATGGAAAGGGCACGTAGTTTTTTGACTTACAGTGCTTATTTTCGAGTCTAGATCCTTTCCTTGGATCTCTCTATTGGTTCCGGGTCATTGATTGGATCTACTTTAAAGTTTAACTTTAATAATTTGAACCGTTTATATTTTAAGATTTGTCAAATATGTCTTACTTGTAAAAAATCAAGTTTATCGGATGTCGGAAATCATGTATTCGGATCATCGAAGTAAAAATCGTTTATTAAAAAAAATTTAATAAAACTTTTAGTTCGATGATTTGAACACGTGATTTTAGATATCTGATCGACTTGATTTTTTTACAGGTATGATATATTCAACAAATTCTAAAATGTTAGCGGTTTGGATAATTAATATTAAGTCCAAAAGTGAGCCCAATGACTCACCAAATAGGGAGCCAAGTAGAGAAATCTGAGGAGAGGATCTTGCTCCTTATTTTCTTGGTTTCAAATCATAATAGGTGAGAATTGACTCTGGTGACGGTTAGAGTTAGAAGAACCTCGTGCGTAAACCCTCCAGTCAAACCCACCTTCTACTTTCCCATCTATGCCCTCTGATCTGGTGTAACAGTTTACCACGCGTACAACTATCCAAAACCCCCTCTCTCTCTTCCTTTCTTAATTTGGTAGTTATTTCTACCCCATCTGTCAGCCTCGTCCCTACTTTCCAAGCAAACACACACACGAACTCAATTTCCTCTATAAAAACCATTCAAATATCAGTCACAACCATTGATACAAGAAAATAAAAGAAAAAGAAAAAAAATAGAGAGCATACATACATTGAGTTTGAAAAAATGGTGGCTACTGTGGCAGGTATAAGAGTCGAAAGCTTGGCCAGCAGCGGCCTTGAATCGATTCCAAAAGAGTACGTAAGGCCGCAAGAAGAGCTCACTAGCATCGGCAACGTATTCGAGGAAGAGAAGAAAGAGGAAGGGCCTCAGGTTCCCACAGTGGACTTGAAAGACTTGGTGGCGGAGGACAAGGAGGTGAGGGAGAGGTGCCGCGAGGCGTTGAAGAAGGCGGCGACAGAGTGGGGGGTGATGCATTTGGTGAACCACGGGATACCGGATGAGCTGATGGAGCGAGTGAAGGCGGCCGGAGAAGGGTTTTTTAACCAGCCTGTGGAGGAGAAGGAGAAGTATGCAAATGACCATGATTCTGGAAATATTCAAGGGTATGGAAGTAAGTTGGCTAATAATGCTAGTGGTCAACTTGAGTGGGAAGACTATTTCTTCCACCTTGTCTTCCCTGAAGACAAGCGTGACATGTCCATTTGGCCTAAGACACTATCCGACTATATGTAAGTTTACTTTAATGCTACATTTATTAATATACGTAATCTCATTTTTTGTTTAATTTTTTCATTCCTAAATATAAAATAATAGTATATAAGACCCACTTAAATATTTCATAACTATTGATTTTGAAATGGACATTTCTGTTGTATTCATGCAATAGAAAGGATTGTATTCATTTAATCTGAATTTTATTTTTATTTTTTTAATCACTTAACGTTGCATAGTTATAGTAATTGGATGTTAATGGAACTCAAGTGGGATTTATTGTGTTAATTATTGTGAATTTATCACATCAAATGATATGATAAAAAAAATTATTATAGTCATCCATACGTTATTGATAAGTTACTTACGCTTTATTAATTATGCTAAAAAAATATCAAAATTACTTAAATTAATTATATGACCTATAATCATTCAAAACAATAATGTTTAGTTTATAGAAAAATTAATAATTTTTTTAATCAGCAAAAAAGAAAAATGTGGTCCACTCAACATATTCATATAGAGAGGTGATTGAAACCCCACCCCAACCACCCCACACGCAGATGGGGGTTGGTGAGTGAGAGAAAAGGAAAAAAACAAAAAATGTCCAATCACGTCACAAAAGGGGTAGTAGGGTCACTCTCTGTGGGAGTTCGAATCTTTTTCCATTCGTATATTCGCAAACATTCCCTTATTCAAATTTGTGTGAATGCATTTTATTACACGCAGTCCGGCAACAAGCGAGTACGCAAAGCAACTACGAGGTCTAGCAACAAAAGTCCTGTCGGCCCTCTCACTCGGCTTGGGACTAGAAGAAGGCCGACTAGAAAAAGAAGTAGGAGGCATGGAAGAGCTTCATCTCCAAATGAAAATAAACTATTACCCAAAATGCCCTCAACCAGAGCTCGCCCTCGGCGTCGAAGCCCACACCGACGTCTCTGCCCTCACCTTCATCCTCCACAACATGGTTCCCGGCCTGCAACTCTTCTACGAGGGCAAATGGGTCACTGCCAAATGCGTCCCCAACTCCATTATCATGCACATTGGTGACACCGTAGAAATTCTCAGTAACCGCAAGTACAAGAGCATTCTCCATCGTGGACTCGTTAATAAGGAAAAAGTGAGGATTTCGTGGGCGGTTTTCTGCGAACCACCCAAGGAGAAGATCATTCTGCAGCCACTCCCGGAGACAGTGACGGAGGAGGAAATGAATGAATGAATGAATGAATGAATGAATGAATGAATGAATGAATGAATGAATGAATGAATGAATGAATGAATGAATGAATGAATGAATGAATGAATGAATGAATGAGGAGTGTGTGGGGGTGGTGGTGGTTTGATTAATAATAATTAATCATTTTTTTTTTTTTTTACTGTGACGATGATGATGTTATCATTTTTATGGTATTTCTTAATTATAAGGTTTGATTATTATGTTGTTATATGTTAGGCTAAAATCTGTATTTGTCTCTTGAGGTATTGTGTCTTGATCTTTGCTCAATAAGATTATTTTTATTCTGTTGTAATTTTGTGGACGTTTGTGCCATGTTCTAAATCGCGGTATTGGGTAACGTATCGGTATCGATCGCGGAGTATCGGTATTGGTAGTATCAATCGGTACGTATCGGGGATCGAGTGTCGCGACGGTGAAATTTTGAAAATCATTTCACAGGTTTTTTAGCCTTTTGTGTACAGTTTGTGCCATGTTCTAAATCGCGGTATCGGGTAACGTAACGGTATCGATCGCGGAGTTTCGGTATCAGTAGTATCAATCGGTACGTATCGGGAATCGGGTGTCGCGACGGTGAAATTTTGAAAATCATTTCACATGTTTTTTAGCCTTTTCTTTCTTGTACCAGTCCGAACCGGTGAGTATCGGTCCGTCGCGACTTGTGTAACGGTTACAGACCGATACGTACCGGGACTCGGCCGATGCGCTTGCGATTTTCAATCACAGCGGTATACCGGCCTGTATCCATCGCGGTGTCCTATTTTTCTGATACGTTACGTATCAACCAATTTTTAGAACTATGGTTTATGCTAATTGTTTTTAGCTTCAATAACGGTAAGTTGCACACAAATAAAATATTTTAAAAAAATTTACTTTCACTTTATATATATATATATATATATTTTGCATTTTATTTTTGCGAACCTAGCACCGTTGGGGTCATGGTGGTTAGTGACGGAGCTAGAAAATCAAATTAAAAAGAGCACTTATTAATTATAATATCAAAAATTTTTACAAAAATATTTCACGTAAGTTTTTATGATTGATTTCGAAAAATATCAAAAAATAATGTTATTTATAACTAGTGTATCATGAACAATATAAAAAACTATAGATATAAGTCTTAAAATAAATTATATAATGATAAATTATTTTTTTATACAAAATTTAATTAAAAATTCAATATAAAGGTAATACCACGTTATCATTAGTATGTAATATCACCAACTAATAGTAAATAAACACATAGAGAGTGAACATCACATGTCAAATGTAACTAACAATCTAATAAATTTCATATCTTTATAGTGAGATTATTTATACTTGCATGTCAATAATAATGACATCAACGTTACATTCAAAAATTTTCATAAATTTTTTATAGATAATATGGTTTATAATAGTCGTTTTATTTTCAATCAAAATAACCATTATTGTTCTCATAATTTTTAAAATGTTATTGACATTTCACTCTAATAATATTTTTATAATTTTTTTTATTTAAAATATTTTCTTTATATTAAATAAAAAAAATAAAAAAGCCTAAAATCCGGAGGCACGCGAACCCTGTCCTCACTTCCCTCCGCCACTGATGGTGGTCCAATACTCCTATGTGGTTTGGTGACGAAGAAGAACTTGGATTTGAGTCTGTATGACTCTTTGGGAGCAACCATTATTAGAGGCAAGACTGTTGTTTGTGTCATCATTTTTTTGTCATTATCTTCTTCATAGAATTGGGATATTCAAACTTGTTATGAAAGAATATATCTAAATTTCGTGCATTATTCAGTCATTTATTGACGTAAAATATTTTATTTTATCTTTTGTAAATTAATTTTACACAGAAAAATATTTTTGCTTTTGTTTTTGGTGTTTGATTGATACTTGAAATAAAAATATTTTATTACTTAAAAGTAAAATTTTAATTCAATAAAGTGTCATATATGAATTTTTAATTAGTCAAGATATTTATTTTAAAAAAACTAAATGTGTTAAAAACGTAATAAGTGATAGTCAACTTTATAAAAACCGACTTACAAAATTTTTACATTTTTTAGAAAATGATACAAAAATTTTACTTGCTGTTTGTTTAACCAAACAACTAAAAATAAATAAAATATTTTTGAAAAATATTTTACATAAAAACAAACAAAGCCGTAGCATTTCTCTATCTAACTTACTGACAAATAAGAACTCCTATGAGGGTCGTCACCTACTAGTCCCTCCCACCTTCTTCCTTTGCTTTTTTTTAAAAAAAAGGCAAAAAACACAAATGCATTACTAACTAGTAGTCCATTTTTTAAGGGTTGCTCCGCTCACCTTATTCTATTTCTATTTTGTTTTGTTTTTTATTTTTATTTTGAACAGTTATTTCTATTTTGTTTGGTCAATTATATATGATTAATTTTGTATACATAAAAAATTAAAATCAAACATTTTACTTACAAATGAGATATGTAAAAATTAAATTTTGAGATTTAAAATGAGATCTGAATACTTTGGTAGTAACAATTGCTACATCTATAAGTAAAATAGCAATGCTATGGATAAAAAAATAAAAAACAAAAAAATCAATTTGGTAGAAATTTTAGGATCTCTAATATTTTTCTAAGTAAAAAGGAGATGTGTTAAATTCCATTTAATAAAAATATAGATGATGTATTTTTAAAAACATATTTTTCATTTATTTTTTTGAGACAAATATGATAAATGAAAAAATTATGATTATTGCACTAATTTAATTTTTTAATGAATAATAGATTACAAAATAAGAATTATTGAAAATGGGACTCACCATAAACTTCACGTATCCAAATAATTATTTCAAATTCAAATTTAAACTTGAAGGAGCCAAACCCTACTTATAAAACTATCTGTTAAAACTAGGAGCCAAACCCTACTTATAAAACTAGGGATGGGAGCTGAGTATTCCATCTGTCAGTCTTCATATGGGAGATGGAGTGGGCATGGAATCTGGTGCGATCTGTTGTTGGCGTGGAGTTTGGTCTGGTGTGATCTGTTGTGGTTGTTGCGGAGTTTGGTCCCTTTTTTTTTGTTTTTTTTTTTTTGTTGGTTTCTCATCAATTTTGGACGTGTTAATAAATGATAGAATAGATTTTTTAGTACTAATTTAATTGGAATAATTTAGCTCATTGTGATGTTTTTACACTTATTTTTTTTATTAATGTATTTTATTTTATACATTATACTTGATTCTTATAGCAATAATTTTTTTTTTTACTGATAAAAAAAATCATGATATAAACAAATTTATTTTTACTAAATAGTATGCCTCGTATATTTTATTTGTACTATTATACGAAACCAATTACGTAAGTATGTCCCTCTTTCAAATCTGTGTAGGTTTTTTGTTTTTACTTTATAAAAAAGCCAAACTCTTCAAAAGTTTCTGACATCACATTTTTCTATCACAGTAGGTATAAAGCTCTTTCAATAAAAGATCTTGTAAAGCATGTATATATTTATACTAGCGTATGCCGTGCCTAAAGGCACGGTGTAAATAATATTAAGATTAAAATGTAGTTATAAAAATATATTTAACAGACTACACTCTACAATTCCAAATAAATCAAATATAAAAAAAATTAAAATATTAAATAATGCACACCAGCCAGCGCTCTGCAATTTAAAAGAAATTAAAACTTAAATGCACACCAGTTAGTGCTACTGCTGCCAATCAAATTATAACTACATAAGAACCAAGTTTGACTGACAAAAAATAAAAACAAATAAATAAAATAAAATCCCAATCAACAAATCCAATTGTATAATTGCATTGTGTCATGATCTAGAACCAAGTTTGACTCAAAGGCAACACCGCACCTCATTACCAAACTCTGGATACTAATCTTAAAATGCAAGCTCCCATAGAGAGAGTGAGAATATTTTACAAACATCAGGGGTATATTTATAATTTACCCTTTTTTAAGATTTTGTGAAAATTTGAGAATGGAGATTTAGAGGGCCGCGATCCATCACATTCTTACAGTATATTGGCATAGTTTTTAAATTTCTTTTGTCTAGAAACCGAACAATAACAATAGACGAAAAGATAATCAAGTGGTTTACTATTAAATCTAGGATTACATCTCTTTTTAAGACAGGTCCCTAGGTAATCAATGAATTTCAATCAAAGAAGATAGAGAAACAATTGTTGGATATGAGTATCCTAACAATTGTTAAATGCAAAGCAAAGCACTAACCAAGAAACTCAACTTCAGAGAAAGTTTCGGATGTGTAATGACTTCACATCAACCATCTCCTCATCCTTAAATTCCTCTCTGAAATATATTGAAAGCATTCCATCAATTAACCATAAAATAATAATAATAATAAAATAAATAAATAAATAAAAACTGTATACAATAAATGTTAATGGTGTAGACAAATGCATAGTAATTGAAGGGGAACACTAACACACTGGGTATAATAATATTTCCAATGCTAGATATTGATAATGTTAATGGTTTGTTGATAGCATTGGAAACAATATCAATATCTGGCTTGTAGTCCTTCTCATTGACACCCATAACAAACATGGGAGCATCCTTACTTGGAGTAGAAATGACAACCTTCTTTGCACCACCCTAGTGATTAAAAAAAAATCAAGAGCAATACTATCAACAAACCATGCCTTCATGAGCATTTGCAAGCCAACAAAATAACAAACATTGCCCAATTGAGCATAACATGTCAAGTCAAAATTTATGAGGGGGGCATTGTACCAGCACTGGTATTTTAGCCAAAGAAGAAAACAGATTCAACATGCAACACGTCCATTTAAAGAAATAAAAGAACCAGAAATCAATATTGATGAAAGCAAGACAAATATATCTCTTCAACTATATCAAAGAAAGTATGCACACAAATCAAAATACCAATCCATAAAGCAAAAAAATAAAGGCAAACCTTCAAATGGGCAGCAACTTTGTCCTTATCAGTAAAAACTCCAGTGGACTTAACAACATATTCAGCTTCAGCTTCACCCCATGGGATTTCCTCTAGGTTCCTAAATAAAATCAAAAAATAAATTATTAATATTCAAAGGGTGCCATTTTGAAAATAAAATGAAACATAAAGATAGCAAAATCAGCTTATAATACCTCATACCAAAGACTGCGACAGGTTTGTCACCAAAGAGAAGGGTCTTAGAATCCTGAACCTTAAGCTCATTTTTTTTCCATTGACCATGAACACTATCATACTTAAACATATAGGTCTGTACAACACAAAACCAAAATTAAGTTAGCTGAAGATGGATGTCCTAATGGATTTCATGGCCAAATGATGCCTTGTGGCCATTGTAGCAGATATCAAGGTTCAAAAATCCCATTGTCCATGATAGAAAGTAAAAAACCAAAAAGGATATGCATTGCAAAGGGAAATGCACCATGCTTTGTTACAGAAAGACTCACTGTCATTAGGGTAAAAACAAACACAAAGAGAGAAGGGGAGAGACAGAAATTGAACCTTGCGAGTGCGAGTTCGAAGGGAGGGTGGTTGTCGATGCTGAAATTTTTATTCATACGAAACAGATTGATTGGAAAAAAACCTAACTTGGATCATCATCCGTATATCATCACCAACCTGAAAAAGTGAAACAAAGAGAAAAAAGATTCATCAAATATATCAATGTATTCATGAATGTATGTATTAATGAAATGAAGAAGAACAGAGAGAGAAGGGAAAAAAAATATCAAACCCAAATGCACCAATCAAACCCAAGAATGTTATAAACAACCCTAAAAATGTATGTATTCATGAAATGAAGGAAAAGAACAGAGAGAGAAGGGGAAAAAAATATCAAACCCAAATCACACCAATCAAACCCAAAGGAGGCAGTGATCACATTACAATGTGGCAATTATTCATGCATTGGGTTTTCAGATGCATTTCTACTATTTCACATCAAAATTACAATAAACATCTGGCTAAAAAAAAAGAGCAAATCAAAACATAATTGAAAAACAATACAATAACATACTTTTCCTACAAAAATGTGGCAGTTTCTCTCATTTCCAAACAAAAGCCTCAAAAAATTGTCACTACCACCTATAAAAATTAAACCTTTATAAAAGAAAATCCAACAATAAATCGTTTTAAACAAAATTCGATCACAACATCAACAAAAAAAAATCACCAACAACAACTAACATAATACCTAAACACATTCAAGATACATCAAACACCCTCTATCACCATGGAATCAAACCCTAGCAGACATATGTATGTATATGTATACATGGGTGTATAGTTATGCTTTATTCAAATCACCCCATGGATTTCTTTTATGCTTTATTCTGTTTTTTTTATTGTTGTTACGTCATGCTTTATTTTCACTTACGTTATATGCTTTATTCACTACCTCAGTTCATGTTCCTTGACTGCTTGCTGGTGTATTATTGGTCCTTGTACATGATCAAACCAACTTGGGTGGAATTTATGAGGCTCACTTAGTGGCACGCCTCAGAGTAATGCATCCCAAAAATACCTTTTTTTTTTTCAAAGCAATACATTCCAAAAATACCTTAAGTCCTACATTATTTTATTTAACAATGTTTTCTTTATTGAAACACTATTTTGGTGTTTCTATTACTTACATTTCTATAATATTTTAAATGGTGGACTCTTAACTGCTTTCATTGCTTAACTTTTCTAATAATCATGTAATTTTAGCAATTTTAAGCTGATAGGGTAAAGTCTAATTTGCCAATAAATTGTGGTTTTTAAATAATTTTATTGTTGGTGGGATTTAGATCCACATGTCCTGTTGATAAAGGTAATATTTTTCAAATTAGTTGGTGTTGTTACTTTCATAGCACTGTGACATATGGAATTTGTTTTTCAATGAATATAATTGTCTATCATCATTTTTTTTAGTTGATGTGTAATCTTACTATTCTTGATTCAATTCGATTCACAATTCCACTATTAGGATTTTGTTTCTTGAATCAACAACTATGATACAATATAACTGGGACTTTTGATGCACTTGTGGAAGTAAGAATAGCTGGCTTCAAAGTTATCTTTGGAAGGTGAGCTATCTTGGTTAGTATTCTGTTCTTTGATTATTATATTTCCCATCTTCAGCTGGTCTTAATTTTTTGGTCTTAATTTTTTGTCGTACGATTCTGTTTGTCAGTCAAATGGGCAGTTACGTGTTCCAAACAAACTGTGAGTGCTTACTATGTGTGAAATGTGAGCTTTATCTTTTATGCATTCTTGCTTTTATAGCTGATCATGCTAATTGTTCTTTTTGACTATGATATTTATTCTAGCTTCTTGGGTTTGATCTACACTAAGTACTGTGCAACTTGTGTGAAATCAAACTTACGTTGGTTTTTATATTGTGAATTGGATTGTTTTTTCGATTTTGACATCTTATTTATCTAATTTAGGACAATAATAAAATGCTAGTTGTTGGATAATTGCCACATGTATTTCTTTGTTTTTATTTGTTTCCGTTCTGTATAAATCAGCGATGACAATACTCAACACTCTCAGCATTCCTCTATTCATGTTGGCTGAACCACACGCAGCCATGACAATACTTAATTACAGTTTTTTATCAACTCAAATTAACATTCCTTTGTGAATTTGGGGGGGGGGGAATCTAAATCAACAACCAAGTGTGTGTGCTATTTTGACAATCGAGAAGAAACAACTTAGAAGTCTCTGATAGGCAAACTATCAAACATGTTGTGGCCATGGCAGTATAAGCCAACATATCAGCACTTTTCTTCACCCCCATTGCCATTCTGCTTCTCATATCTAACTAATGTACTTGAAAAAAAAATAAAAAAAAGTCAGCGAACCCTAGATCCCAACTATGTCATAGTCTTTAATTGTGGAGGATGATTGATACAAAAATTAGCCCTAAACCAATGCCTCAAAGAACTAAATAAATGTAAAATACCTCTAATGTTGGGAGGGTGGGAGCCGAGAGAGAGTGGGTGTCGATCAATGGCGACGGTGATGATGAGCAGCGACGGCGGTGGTGAGCCCTATTGAGACCACCGTCTCTGTTTGAATCAAATTGTTGGAAGATGTTTCTTTGATCTGCTACCTCTGTTAGCCAGTTTCAGAAAAGAAAGAATTTCAAACGTGAGAGAGAGATCATAGAGGGAGTTGAAGAGAGAATGTGAGAGATAACGTGTAGGGAGGGAGTTGAAGAGAAGGTGTTTGGGCAGACATGGGAGAGAGAGAGAGAGCAGAGAGTGTTTGGGCGGGAATAAAAATGATCTCAACCGTTAGATAGTATATAGAAATCATCTCAGTCATTGGATCAAAATGTATCTTACGTACATTTTGATACATTTTTCAAAAAGCTTTGTGCCTTATTATATAGATAGATATATATATCTATATCTATATACATCACATTCAAACAAATGGGTTGAGTTTGAAATGCAATAGAATCAAGATGAAATCAAACCCATTTTCAGATTACAGATATCAAACCCATTTCAAAAAACCAATTCCATATGCACAAAATCACAAAAATTGACCCTTCAAATGAAATGCTGAAAAAGTCAGACATGAGACTGTTGTACATACTCACCCAAAAAATGACACTGTTATACAAAGAATAAACATTTCAAGAAATGGTGATAGAAATCTTTGGATTTGAGGCTTGTTTTGATCTCTTATCCCGATCCAAAGTATACCACTTTTCCTCTTTTTATTGTTATTGACATGTTTTTTTTACAAAAACAGTTATCTATTTGAAGAGTCTTACACCCAAGACTATGTAGCCCAATTATCATATACTATGTAGCCCAATTTGTGATTTAGCAAACCTTAGAGTATACAAAATCTAAGGTAAATTTACATGATCATTTCTGCAAACAAAACAGACCACATGGAGGATGACTCAACCAGAGCAAGTTAGCTCCATCACTTGATCTAAAATCTTTTTTGCAAGTATCTATGCCCCAATCCACATAATATACTCTATACTAACTATTATACAAAATGTGTTATTAATCAGTCAATAAAAACAAATAATCAAAAAGAGAAACAATCAGTGTTGATTATTGTCATTGTTCTCTTCACACCCTTTGCACACAATAAAAACATCATTTGACAATTTTTTTTTTTTAAAAAAATAAATAAATAAACCAATAATTTCTGCCATAGTTCTAATTAGGCAACCACCAAACAATAAACCATAAACCACAAAATAGGCAACCACCAAACAATAAACAATAAACCAGAAACAGAAACGATGATAAACAAAAACATCGATTTAAACCATTACCTCAATTCCACCAACAAACATCGATTTACTTGAAGCATAAAGAAGCATTGAGAGAGAGAGAGAGGGAGAGAGGTACTGGAGAGCTCCCATGGGGGTTCGAAGCAGAGAGAGAAAAAGAAGACAGCGGCGTCAATGTAGAATTTGAGGAAGTTGATGATAATGACAGTGGTTGTGGTGGTGGAAACCCTAGCCTTCGGTGACCCAATCAAAGCACAGTGTTGCAATTCACAATCGGAAACCCTACCTTGCGAGTGGGAGGGTTGCGACTGGAAGCCACTGAGAGAGAAGGGGGGGGAGAGGCAGAAATCGAGCTCAAGAGAGAGGGTAGGAAAGAAGAATAGAGAGGGAGAGAGAGAGGCAAAGAGGGAATGAGAGGAGACGTGTAACAGAGAGGGAGAGATAGAGAGAGAGAGAGAGAGATAAAGAGGGAATGGGGAAGGAGACATGGGTAGGTGGGAGAGGGAGAGAGTGTTTGAGCGGGAAGAAAATTGATGTCAACCGTGAGATATTAATTAGGATTGATCTGAGCCCTTAAAATGAAATGTATCTCTGATATTAATTAGAAAATATTGTTCTAATGCTATGTCCTACAAAAACTAAGATATTGAAACCATAATAGAAATATAAGATTAGAATAAATAACACAAAGAACAAAGAGATTATCATTATGTTTAGGGACCAAGTTTAAAACATTAACCAGCTTACGGGTGATACTACATTAACCAGCTTTAGGAAGAGTTGTCTCAATTTACGGGTGATACTACATTTTCTCCTAGCAAAGGAACAATAAGGAGGATGTACTCCTAGTAGTACTTGATCTACCCACTTGGAGTAAATGATCTTTGACAAAATCCTAGAATCCAAAAATCGACTCAACAAAAGCAACTAACTTCAAGCAACTGACTTCGTCCTATTGTCAAGCTGCCAATTGGCAGCATAAATATTATATTTAGTACAACTCTCTACATGAGAACCCCAAAATCATAAAGAAATAACAAACATCACATGAAATAAAATGATCAAATTAGAGATTAAAATCCCTCATTTATATATGTAATGACAAATTAGATTGATAGTGCGTATGGTTGGAAATGGAGAGTTGAAAAAAAAAGGAAACAAAAATAGAAATTAGTATAGAGCTTATCTTAGCTTCGTGTCGTCGGTTGATCTCACTCTACTTGTCTGCACACATACACTATCACACAATGGTTTCTCTTTTTAATAGACAATGGCATTGTCAAATGAGAAAAAATAACAACGAAAATGAGTAAGTTTAACAATGTATCAATTGGGGACCCGATTACCATGGGTCCATTACCGCCATGGGTCCTCTCAATTATTGTAACTACGATTACCATGGGTCCATTACCGCCATGGGTCCTCTCAATTATTGTAACTAATGCTTTCCTTTCAGCAAAACCAACTAAAATTTGAGTGTCAGAGTGCAATCTAACAAACAATCAAAGTAAAATACCTTTTCGGAGTCTAGTTAAAGATTGACAATGGTTGAGTACCAAGT